AGTAGTAGTAGTAGTGGTAGTGGTAGTGGTAGTAGTGTAGTGGTAGTGGTAGTGGTAGTGGTAGTAAGTGGTAGTGGTAGTAGTAGTAGTAGTAGTAGTAGTAGTAGTAGTAGTAGTAGTAGTAGTAGTAGTAGTAGTAGTAGTAGTAGTAGTAGTAGTAGTAGTAGTAGTAGTAGTAGTAGTAGTAGTAGTAGTAGTAGTAGTCGTAGTAGTAGTAGTAGTAGTAGTAGTAGTAGTAGTAGTAGTAGTAGTAGTAGTAGTAGTAGTAGTAGTAGTAGTAGTAGTAGTAGTAGTAGTAGTAGTAGTAGTAGTAGTAGTAGTAGTAGTAGTAGTAGTAGTAGTAGTAGTAGTAGTAGTAGTAGTAGTAGTAGTAGTAGTAGTAGTCGTAGTCGTAGTCGTAGTCGTAGTCGTAGTCGTAGTCGTAGTCGTAGTCGTAGTCGTAGTCGTAGTCGTAGTCGTAGTCGTAGTCGTAGTCGTAGTCGTAGTCGTAGTCGTAGTCGTAGTCGTAGTCGTAGTAGTAGTAGTAGTAGTAGTAGTAGTAGTAGTAGTAGTAGTAGTAGTAGTAGTAGTAGTAGTAGTAGTAGTAGTAGTAGTAGTAGTAGCGAACGCATGGGAACCGGCCGCAGGCATGAATCCTTGGAATTCCCATAGGACCTGGGACCCTCATGGGGAGGAGGAGGGGGAGGAGGAGGAGGAGGAGGTAGAGGGAAGGATAAGTAAGAAGGAGGAGGAGGTGAGGAGGAGGAGGAGGGAGAGGAGGAGGAGGAGGACGATGACCGACGTGGCCCGGAGGCCCCCGACGGTGCACAGGCAGTGTTGTCGTCGTCATCGGCTTCGTCGGCGTCGTCGGCGTCGTCGTCCTCTGCGCTGTGGTGCGCGCGGGCGTGGTGGTGCTTGGAGGCACTGTGGTGTGCGGAGACGCTGTGGTGAACGAAAACGTTGGGGGGGTCTCGACAGGCGCTGTGGTGCACAAGAGCGCCCTGGTTCACGCAGGCATTGTGGTGAACGGCCACGCTGTGGTGCACACGGCTGCTGTGATGCGCGCAGGCGCCGTGGTGTACAATGACGATGCAGTGTACGCAGGCATTGTGGTGTGCAATGGCACTGTTGCGCACGCGGGCGCTGAGGTGCACAGAGGCGTTCATGGCGGTGTGCACGGGCGATGTGGCGCCATGGTGCGCGCAGGTGTTCAGGGTGAACAGAGGCATTGCTATGAACACGGGCGCTGTGGGGCACGCAGGTGTTGCCGCAATACACACCCGTTGCGCTGTTGAATCGGGCGCGCCTTTCAGAGTGTGACGCTGGCCGCCGTTCCCGTGTACCCCTCCTCTTGGCCGACCGTTCCAGCCTCCCAGTAACACGTGATACCCCAACGGGTCAGAAAACGACCTGCTCTATAACGTGCAGATACCTCTGCATAACCATCTGGACACGCATGTGCATCTGCACAGTTCCTCCCCCATCTCTGGTTAATTCAAGCTTCGCGCGGCCCGCTTAGCTTCGACCGGAAGAGGTACGCTCTCGACCCGCGAATCAAAAATGTGCACCTGCACAGTGGCACCGGCAACGCACAGCACTCGTACTGCCCTGCCCTGGGCCCCGAGGCCCCTGCCCTGAGGCCAGCCGCGCCCCCTGCGTGTGTGCTCTCTCGGCGGCCCTGGCGGGGTCTTCACCGCCCCTGCGAAGCCTACTCCAGATTTCGTAATAAAAGGGAGGGGGTCTGGATTCGGGGGGGGGTCTCTTCCAATCTATCTTGGAGGGCCTGGGGGGGTCTGGGGACGATGTTTTGGAGGGTTCTCCCACGGGGGGGGGGTCTGAAATGGCTTGTCTTGGAGGGTCCAGACCCCCTCCCTTTTATTACGAAATCTGGAGTAGCCCACCACCCCACGACTGCTGGGGGGGAGATGGGGTCACTTCGCTGGGAAGGTCCCGAACGAAGGGACCCCCGCCTCCCCCCTTGGAGATTGTGAGGTGGTGGGGCAGGGTCCGCACGTGGCCTCTGAGAGGTGGCGCGATGCTTCTCGTCGCCAGAGGCCCCGTGGTCTTCAGAGAGGGGCGGGCGGCGGCGGTGTCATTGGAGGGGGCGGGCAGGGGCGGGGCGGGCTTCCCGACCTTTGGTGTCCCCGCAGGCCTGCCGCAGAGGCGTGGGAGGCAGGCGGGAGGGGCGCCGACGGGGGCAGCCCGGGGGAGGAGCAGGATCGATGTTCGAGGCGCCGCGTTTTGTTCGCCGTGGTTCTGCAGACTCAGGCATTATTCTCACATTCCTTGGGTCATGGGTTATGTTTGGGGGGGGGCGTGGGGTTTGGGGGGAGAAGGGGGGGCGGGAGAAGATAGGAGCAAGAGAGGAGAGGGAGGAGGAGACAGGAGGGAGAGGAGAAGGGAGGAGGAGGGGGAGGAGAAAGAAGAGGATAGGGGAGGAACGAGGAGGATGAGGCGACAAGCAGGAGGAGGCTGAGCAGGAAGAGGATGCCCTTTGGCTCCCGCTCTGCATCATGCTATCCCCCTTTCTCCCTCACTCCCTCTCCTTCCCCGCTCCTCCCAATTTGCTGTTAGCTTTTTGTGGTGGCTTCCCTCTCCTGCAACCTCCCCCTTCTACCCTCCTTTTCGGATCCTCCGAAGCCTTCCAGGACCCCTCAAGCCTCACTGAAAATCCTGGTGGTCGGATCCCCGGAGCTTCTTACTCGGGAGAGGAACGAAAACACCCCGACCCCCCAGGAGTTTGTGGGACGGCCTTGCTCGTTTCTTGAGCAGGCCTGTCCCTTTGGATTCCGCATCTCGGCACGTGTATTGAGGAGCGTCGTCTGTATGGGTGGTCACCGTGCGGGTATGTGCCACATTCTAATGTCATTTCCCCCTCTTTGTTCCCCTCCCTCCCGTCCATCCCACTCTCTCGCTATCTTATTCGGCTCCTTCGGGCCCGTCATGTTTTGCGTTGCGGTCGTTCCTTCGGCCCTCGTCGGCTCCTCGCTCGCTCATGGGCCCCTTTGTGTTGATTCATTATTTCTCCAGACCTGCCTTTCTGGAGATAGGCCAATCTTTAGTCCTTAGTTGAGGATGCAACTCTTGGGACGTTCAAATCTTCACGGTTCGCGTACGCCCACCAGCCCACCAGCCCGTTCCGCAATGTTGCCCAGGTGAGTTGAGGGGAAGAGGGACGGAGAGACACATGTAGTGGAACAAAGCGGGCAACCAGGATGAACAGATGTATCTTTGGGAGCAAGGGGGTTGCCTTGGACGGTCTCTTCGGGCCATTCCTGGGGGCCGCGGGGGTCGAGGGGAGGAGGCAGGGCAGGAGGAAGAGGAGGAGAATGAGGAGGCAAACCGCCTGCCTCCTGCGGCCCTCGTGGGTTGCTCTTGGGGCCGTCTTGGTGGGGTCCTCTTGGGGCTCTCTCAGAGCCCTCTTGGGAGCCATGGGTGGTCGGCCATTAAAATCGCCTCTTGGAGCGCTCTCGGGCGCTCTTTGGGCCGTCTAGGGGTTTCGTGCGCCCCTCGTGGCCCTGTCTTGGGCCATCTTGAGGCCTCAAGAGGGCATCGGAAGCAAACATGCGAGAAGGCAGCAACAATGGACGTTCCTTAGGTGGTCCTGAGGGGCCTCCGAAAACACTTGGAACTGACCTGTGGCCCTCGTCGGGCCTCCTTGGAGGTACGTCGGAAGCTATCTTGAACCATCGTCACTCATTTTGAGATATCTTGCAGACCATCGTGGGGCATAGGAAGCCTATTTGGAGACATCTTGGGCGAACAAGGACATTGTAACCCATCGCGGCCCGCCCCAGAAAATATGAGGAACAGGAGGCGGAGGGTACCCCTTCCCGAAGGTAAGAGGGTTTTTGGGAGAGGGCAGACGTGCCTCGGTAGACCACCTTAGCCCAAAGGGATGGTTGGATTGAGCACAGGCGCTGGTGTATCCGTGGTCGACCACCAGCATGGTCCGCTTAATTCTGCTTTCGCGGTTGGACGGGCTCAAATTTGGGTTTAATCTGGGCTATAGTCCAGCTCTGTGACCCCTCAATTTGGCTCGATTGAATGGACCGTTCTTACGAGTGCCTCGTTTCCTCTTAATTGTGCACGCTTCGCGAATCCCCACCAGCCCATCCTAAAGCCGCTAGTCTAGGGAAGTGTACCGTCTATCCAGAGACGATGCCTGGAGGATTTGCCTCGATCAGGGAAGTGGGCAGCACACAGAGGAAGTGCCCCTCTTGGAGCGCTATTGGGACACTCTTGGGCACTCTTGGGGCCGTCCTGGGGCTCGCTTGGGCCTCTCTGGCGTCTTGGGGGCCTCTTGGCGGTCTCGGGGGCCCATTGGAGCGTCTCGGGGAGCCTCTTGGGGCCTCTTGGGGATCTCTTGGGAGCCTCTTGGAGGCCTCTTGGGCGCCTCTTGGGGCCTCCTGGGCGCCTCTTGGGACTTTCTTGAGGCGCTCTTGAGAGCGTTCTTGAGGCCATCTTGGAGGCCACGGCTCAGAAAGGAGCGCGGCGTCAATTAGAGCACCCCCCTAAGATGGCAAGATGGAGCCACAACCTTAGTCACATCAATGATTGTGAGGCCGTTTTGGACGCTCCAGCGACCCGCGGCCCCCCCCTCCAGGCCCAGGAGGAGGGGGTAGGGGAGGGGTAAACCCCTCCCCGAAGCGGAAGAAGGGGTTGGACAGAGGGGGCCTTCTAAACCACTCACGCCTTACAGGGCTGGTGGGATTCAGTCCCTCTGTGCTGACCTTGTATTTATTCAGACCTGCCTCGTATGTAGGCAGGTCCATCCTTAGTCCCTAGTCCCTCCCCTCATTCCGTTCTCCCTCCGCCCCATCCTTTCCGTGTTCGTTTTGGGGTCTTTTCTAAGGACCCACCCAACGGATCTGCTGGATTCTAGCTCGACTCTTGACCGTTTCAAGTTCGACGGAAGGCTACGCACGTGCAGCGCAGCATCGACGCAGGAGCGGAGCAAGTGGCTCCAGGAAGGCCCCCAGAGTGAGCATCCGAACTTCCTCCCGTCGCCTTGGGCACAGGTCTGGGGCCCGGTGGTGGAGCGCTGGCAGCAGAACGCTCCGCACTTCGGCGGCCGCGCCGTGTGGCTGGAGGCCGCTTCCGCCGTTTATCGGCCACGCGGAAAGGGGGGTAGGGGGAGGGGGAAGGCTTCTTAGAAACACCCCTGCTGCTTAGGAGGCGCGGGCCTCCTCTGCAGAAGTAAGACCTCCTTCCAAGAAGCCCTCTCCCCTCCCCCTACCCCTTTTGTGCGCGTCGCCAAGTGTTGCCGCCCTCGCCGAACGAGAACAAGAGACTGCACACACACACACAACACACAACACACACAACGCACACACAACACACAACACACACAACACACACACACCACACAGCACACAAACACACACGCACACAAACAACGCACAACACACAACACACATAACACACATAACACACAACACGCAACACACAACTCACACAACACATACACACAACACACAACACACAAAACACACAACACACACACACACACACAACACACACACACACAACAGACGCCAACACTCAGACACGCGCAAACGCGCACACGCACACACGCACACACGCACACACGCACACGCGCACACACGCACACGCGCACACGCGCACACCCGCACACGCGCACACGCGCACACGCGCACACGCGCGCACACGCGCATTCGCGCATTCGCGCACACGCGCACGCGCACACGCGCGCACGCGCACACGCGCACACGCGCACACGCACACACGCACACACGCTCACACACGCACACACGCACACACGCATACACGCATACACTTACACACGCACACACGCACACACGCACACACCCACACGCACACACGCACACACGCGTACACGCACACACGCACACCCGCACACACGCACACACGCACACGCGCACACACGCACACGCGCACACGCGCACACGCGCACACGCGCACGCGCACACGCACACACGCACACACGCACACACGCACACACGCACACACGCACACACGTACACACGCACACGCACACGCACACGCACACGCACGCACGCACACACACACAAGCACACACGCACTCACGCACACACGCACACACACACACACACACACGCACACTCACTCACACGTACACACTTGAGTGAGGGGGCCGAAGGGGTTTGTACCGTCCCTGAGGGCGTGGCTGAAATGCGATTCCGTTGTCCCGATTCGGCTTAATCGAGCTGTCGTTCGAGCTTCTTTTTGCGAATCATGCAGGACTTATGCTCAGCAGCCCGCCTGCTCGACCTGGCAGCCTGGGCCCTCCTTTCTCACCCGCCTGCTACGGTCTACTCGCCCGATCTGCCCTTCTGGTTCTACCACGTGTTTTCTCCTCCGAGCCCCCCTGCTGCTAATCTCTCTCGCGCTCCGTCCTTCCCTTTCCCCTTCCATCCGTGCCCTCTTCCCCTGTTTTGGGTGCTGCGCTGTGCACACGTGGCAGGTAAGGAAGATCTCCCCCCAAGAGGGTACGATCGAACACGAAGAGGGCGGGTACCGAGGGTTTGGCATATACGTGTTGAAAGGCACGCTGGCAGCTAGGAGCGAAGAGTCTCAAAATGATCATCATTGTTGTCGTCCACCCCACGACCCATCCGAGACCCACACGCGACCCGCACCACCCCGCGACCCACTCCGCGACCCACCCGCGACCCATCCCGCGCCCGCCCCCTTACTATTATCCGCAAGTGCGGGGTGTTAAGTATGTTTCCGAGAGATCTTGGATCCCAGACATGTTCCCGTCGTGGACAAGCACACGACAGAATGATTAGGCAGTTTTCTGCCTCTGGGGGGGCCTTCGCTGGTCTCCGGAGGCCGAAAATCACCCGCGATGAAAAGCGGGTTCTGGGGAGACGGTCAGAGTTTTTGGGGACCCCGTTGTGCAAAAGTCAAGGCGCCAGATATCCTTCCCACGCAATGACGTGTTCACTCGTGGCGTTCATCTTCGTTGCGGTCCAAGGGTCTGACTTTGGACCGGGGGGCCGTCAAACCACGGATCCGTGACGGCAAACCGCCTCTGGGGAAGGGGTCGGGACTTCTCTGGCCGTAGCATTGAAAAACTACCAAAAGGGTACCTCATGTTACGAGCCTCAAGGTTGACACCAACACCAAGATCGGCGGTGTGCCTCCTCCCGATCTCGGCGATGGTGGTAATATTCTGGCTTGCAGGGTGACCGAAATACTGCCACCAAGACCGAAATCTGGGATCCCCTTCCCCCATCGGAGGCAATCCCCTGTGTTGGTGCTGGTGCTCATTTTCGGGCCACCAATCATGGGTGGACCCCCCCCGTGTCTGCGGCCTTGCGGGCCGGGCCTCTGGGCAGCGACCCAGCGGACACGGGGTCTCTTGCTCGCGGACGACCCCCGCGGAGCGTACCCGTGCGACGGAGCAACCACGGCCTTGCGCCACGAAGTATTCAGATCGCGAGGGCGTCAATCACGGATATAGAATTCTTTACGCTTCGCGTATCCCCACCAGCCCATCTCACAACAGCAACTCTTGCGAAGCATGCCGACAGTCGTGTTTTTCAGGCGTGTTTCCGCCTGCCCCCGCATATCTCCCCTGTTCCTCCTTCCTCCCGCCTCCTTGTACATCCTCCTTGTGGTGGGAGCGGGAGAAGGACGAGGCGGAGGAGGAGGGAGAGAAAGCGCTCCTCGTGGTTTGAGTCGTTCGGGCTTCTCGTCCTGGTGTGAGTCGTTCGGGCCCTTCTTCCTGGTGTGAGTCGTTCGGGCTCTTCGTGGTGTGAGTCGTTCGGGCTCTTCGTCCTGGTGTGAGTCGTTCGGGCTTCTCGTGGTGTGAGTTGTTCGGGCCCCTCGTCCTGGTGTGAGTCGTTCGGGCCCCTCCTCCTGCCCGTCCAGAAACGACGCCCAGGCGAGTAGAGGGTCGTCCTGATGGGTTTTTCGGCGTCTTGGGTGCCTCGGGGGGGCCTCTTTGGGCCGTTTGGGATCCTCTTGGGGGCCTCCTGGGGGCCTCTTGGGGCCATCTTGGGGCCTCTTGGTGCCTCCTGGGCGCTTCTTGGGGCCATCTTGGAGGAAATCGATCAAAGAAGAGGGGAGCTTTAATTAGCGCTGCCCCCTCAGAAGGCCAAAATGGGGCCAAAACCTTAGTAAAATCAATGATTTTGGCTTGAAAGAAGAGGGGGGCTTTAATTAGCGCTGCCCCCTCAGAAGGCCAAAATGGGGCCAAAACCGTAGTAAAATACATGATTTTTGCTTCAAAGAAGAGGGGAGCATTTATCTCCCTCCCCCCGTCGGGGCCAGAATCCTCGTGAGGGGTGTCGTTTTTTAGCCCTCCCAGGAGTCGAAAAAGACCCCCCCCCCCGGCGACCCGCGGAGGGACCTCTCCAGGCCCAGGGGGAGGGGGTAGGGGGAGGGGTAAACCCCTCCCCGAAGGGGAAGAAGGGGGGTTGAGAACAGAGCGGGCTCTCTAAACCACTCACGCCCAAAGGGCTGGTGGGATTAGTAGTGGTAGTACTAGGAGTAGCAATAGTAGCAGTAGTGCAGTAGCAGTAGCGTAGCAGGTAGTAGTAGTAGTAGTAGTAGTAGTAGTAGTAGTAGTAGTAGTAGTAGTAGTAGTAGTAGTAGTAGCAGTAGTTAGTAGCAGTAGTAGTAGTAGTAGTAGTAGTAGTAGTAGTAGTAGTAGTAGTAGTAGTAGTAGTAGTAGTAGTAGTAGTAGTAGTAGTAGTAGTAGTAGTAGTAGTAGTAGTAGTAGTAGTAGTAGTAGTAGTAGTAGTAGTAGTAGTCGCAGCAGTAGTAGTAGTAGTAGTAGTAGTAGTAGTAGTAGTAGTAGTAGTAGTAGTAGTAGTAGTAGTAGTAGTAGTAGTAGTAGTAGTAGTAGTAGTAGTAGTAGTAGTAGTAGTAGTAGTAGTAGTAGTAGTGGTATTTCCAGTACCAGCGGTAGTAGCAAACTTAGTCGTCAACGTCGTCGTCGCACTAGTTGTCTCAGTAGCAGAGACAGTCACTAGAGCAGTGGTCTATATGGAAGTAGTAGTAGTAGTAGGAGTAGTAGTAGTAGTAGTAGTAGTAGTAGTAGTAGTAGTAGTCGTAGTAGTGGTAGTAGTAATGGCCGTAGCACCATGAGTAGAAGTAGTAATAGTAGAGGTAGAAGTAGTAGTAGTAGTAGTAGTAGTAGTAGTCGTAGTAGTAGCAGTACTAGAAGCAGTAGTAGCGATGGTAGTCTTAGTAGTTGTAGTGGTAGTTGTCGTGGTCGTAGCAGGAATAGGACTAGTAGTAATAGTAGAAGTAGTAGTCCTAGTACTAAGAGCAGCAGTAGTAGTAGTCCCAGTAGTACTAGTAGCAGTGGTAGCAGTAGTAGTAGTCCCAGTAGTACTAGTAGCAGTGGTACTAGTAGCAGTGGTAGTGGCAGTACTAGTAGTAGTAGTAGCAGTAGCAGTAGTAGTAGTAGTTGTAGTAGTAGTAGGAGTAGTAGTAGTAGTAGTAGTAGGACTAGAACTAGTAGTAGTAGTCGTAATAGTAGTTGTAGTTATTGTAGTAGGAGATGATGTAGTGATACTGGTATTAGTAGTAGTAGTAGTAGTAGTAGTAGTAGTAGTAGTAGTAGTAGTAGTAGTAGTAGTAGTAGTAGTAGTAGTAGTAGCAGTAGTAGTAGTAGTCGTAGTCGTAGTCGTAGTCGTAGTCGTAGGAGTAGGAGTAGGAGTAGGAGTAGGAGTAGGAGTAGGAGTAGGAGTAGGAGTAGGAGTAGGAGTAGGAGTAGAAGTAGTAGTAGATGTCTTTTGGGAGCCTCTTGGAGGCCTCTTGGGGCGTCTTCGGCGCCTCTTGGGGCCTCTTTGGGACCTCTTGGGGGCATCTTGGGGGCCTCTTGGGGGCATCTTGGGGGCCTCCTGGGGGCATCTTGGGGCCATCTTGGGGCCTCTTGGTGCCTCCTGGGCGCTTCTTGGGGCCATCTTGGAGGGAATCGATCAAAGAAGAGGGGAGCTTTAATGAGCGCTGCCCCCTCAGAAGGGCAAAATGAGCCCAAAACCTTCGTAAAATCAATGATTTTGCCTGGAAGGAAGAGGGGAGCTTTAATGAGCGCTGCCCCCTCAGAAGGCGAACATGGGGCCAACACCGCAGTAAAATCAATGATTTTGGCTTCAAAGAAGAGGAGAGGGTTTTTTCTGCCTCCCCCCGTCGGGGCCAGAATCCTCGTGAGGAGTGTCGTTTTGTAGCCCTCCCAGGAGTCGAAAATGACCCCCCCCAACGACCCGCGAAAGGACCTCTCCAGGCCCAGGGGGAGGGGGTAGGGGGAGGGGTAAACCCCTCCCCGAAGGGGAAGAAGGGGGTTGAGAACAGAGCGGGCTCTCTAAACCACTCACGCCCAAAGGGCTGGTGGGATTATGTCGGGCCTGTCTCCCTACAGGGGGATTTTCCACGAAAATGAACATACCCCCAAAAATAGCCCAAAAAGGTCCACAAATAATCAAAAAATAATCCCCTGACTATTTTTGGACCATGCTTGGATTATTTTTTGAATATTTTTTATTCTTCGTCGAAAATCCCCCTGTAGGGGGACAGGCCCGACATAAATATAGAGGCTGCTCCCGAACGGCATCCATGAGAACCGTGCCGTTGCTTTCGGCTTCGGCCTGTTTCCCTTCGTGCGGCCTGTCCTTTCTCCCCGGCCTGCCTCCCCCTCCCTCCCCCTGCTTGATCACAGGAGGCCGCACAGGCGGTACTCGGGGGCGGAAAAGAGGGGGATGATGACTACTAGGGGGGGTGGACATCATGGCGTGGGCCATGATATCTCCCCAGATTTCGTGGCGCCTCTTCTTGTTTCATGACGTCCCTGGCCCCCCCCCCCCTCCTGGGCCGCGCACGTGCCGCTGGTCATGATTTACACCCCCCCCTCTTGGACGCCCTCCTCTTGGCCGCTCCCGAGCTGGGTTACGCTGAATCAGGGCTGGACCTAAACGGTGTTTTGGCGATTTCGTGGGCGGTTTGCGTGTCGATTGCGTTTTGCGGTATGGGTGGGTTGAAGGCAACACGAGGGAAAGCGAAACCAAGACGAAAACGAAAACGAAAACAAAACGAAAACGAAAAAAAAATGCACCCCCCCCCTCTTGGACCCCCCCCTCTTGGCCGCGCCCGATGGTCGGCGGTCCGCGCGCACTTCTCGGATCGCCGCGGGAGCCCCCCCTTGCCGTGCCGCGCGGATCCCGCGGGCGGCGGCGCCGAAGGTGCCGCCAGGGAGGCCCCGTCGTCGACGCCTGGAAATCTATTCCAGATTTCGTAATAAAGGGAGGGGGGTCTCATTTCGGGGGAGGTCTCTTCCAGGATATCTTGGAGGGCCTGGGGGGTCTGGGGACGATGTTTTGGAGGGTTCTCCCACGGGGGAGGTCTGAAATGGCTTGTCTTGGAGGGTCCAGACCCCCTCCCTTTTATTACGAAATCTGGAGTAGGCCTCCCTGGATGGGGTCGGAGTAGATGGGGTCGGAGGATCGCGCCGCATCGCCGATGCATCAGTGATGCGGGTCGATGTGGAGCCCGATCTGCTTCTCGTCAACGTTGCCGATGCATCGGCGATGCGGCGCGATCCTCCGACCCCATCTACTCCGACCCCATTTAAGAGGCCTCCAAAATCCGCGCGGACCTCCGAAATCTGACCGTTATTAAGGGGGGGGCAAAACACAGACACCTTTCGTCGTCGATGCCGAAGAGGGCATGGGAAAGTGTGGAGAGCGGGGGGGGAGACGACCACCCAGAACAGAACCGGGTGGATAACATGGGGGAATCTTGGGGTATGTGTCTATGTTTCTTTGCGTGACACTGGGCCCCTTGAGTTCGGCAGGCGGTATATCGGGAGCAAGATTACGACACACACACACACACACACACACACACACACCCCGCAACACCGATGCCTATCTATTTTCTTTACTCGTGGCGCGAAATTTGCCTCGGGGCCCAACTATGCCGACTTCGAGGGGTCGCAGGGGACGTCTTGGACGAGTTGCCGACACTTCGCGGAGGCCGCCTTCGCGGGGGCCCAGCGAGCCCGCCGACTGCACGCGGCCATACAGGTCGCCGCCAGCATCGATGATGCTCGTACTCGTCTGCACGGGTGGGACAGGCCCTCGCGAACCCGCTGTGTTTCCAGAGGCGTTTCGCTTTTCCGCGGGACAGCGGGTGTATACAAAAACCACCAAAAAGGCATGATGTATACCCGCCCAAACGAGGTATACGCCCACCCAGAAAATTTATACACCCGAGCAAAAATATAACACATGTTTCAAGAAAGCGACGCATACACCCACCAAACCCGGTGCACCGAATATTGGCGTATTTCCAGAGACGACAACCCTCTGGCGCTGAGTCGCCATGTCAGTGCCTGCGGCGAGAGCCGCGTGGCTGACTCATACCAGCAAACCGCGGATTGCTTGCGCGCGCTCCAGGACGGAATCTTCAGGTTTGTGCCGCCCCGCGCGGGTGGTTTGTTCGGCCATGTGCATCCTGCCAGTCTTGCCGACGATGGAAATGCGACGTCGGGA